AGTGTTTGTGTTTGTGCACGGTTCTCGAGACGTTGCATTAATGCTCGCTATGCCCGCTATGCTCGCATCTATCGAGTCGGGATTGCGACACCTCCCCGTTTTCATATTTTACAGAAAAGGAGAATTTATGGAGAGCTATGTTTTCATATAGCAAAAATATGGATCATCTATGTATATAAAGTATCTCGATATTTTGTAACGATATCAATACGTTTCATAAGTGTAAAATAAGAAAAAGATAATAATCGGTGCAGAAAATTGATATCCATCTTCAGCGATATATTTCAATGATTAATAAAATATACACAGGTAATAAAAATTATGTTTTAAATTATATAAATCTTTAAATCTAAAAAGTCTCGTGTGGAAATAATACGAGTCTATAGAAAAACTAATTATTTACGCGTAATATATAAAAAAATACGAAATGCATAATTATTATTTAATATCGTTGAATATTTAAATCTCAAAATCCAGATTAACGTGTTTAATTCCTCTTTTTTCTTTACACTTTAAGTGTAAGGAATATTTATCGTTAGAGAAAGTTAAATGTTTCTGATGGAAGATTGTCTCAATTGAAAATGGATAGTGATAGCCTGATGATTTTTAAATAGAAATTAATTACATAGATTTCACAACATTTTATTAACTCGTTAAAATGTTTAATTTTTTAGAATTGCTTTTGAAATTGTTTATTAAACTTGAACATTTTTTAAAGATGGAAAAAAGATGAATATTTTGTTAAAAACGAATATCATAAAAGGACTAGAGAAATTTAATGAAATGTATCTATCTTTCTTCATTTATATTTTATGAATGGAAATACGCAAGCATTCCATTAATAAAAGTAAATTCTACAACATTTTTTACTTACTTATGTATATATTTTCATTTCTGGAAACTTATTTAATAATTAAATATTTATTCCTATAATTTTTAGTCAATTGAGTAAATATGATATAATTGTATTTATTTTGCTTATTTCCTGTAAGAAATAATAATTATACATAAGATATATCACTTTATAATTTTTGCTAACATTTAGAAATTTTAATTAAATTAATACGATCTAACATTTGCATGAATATTTTAAAATACACAAAATAGAAATTCAATGCATTTTTTGAGAACATAAATTTATAGAGAAATAAAAAGTTTGAATAGAATATAATGGGAGAGAAAAGGAGATAAATTAAAAATTATGAAATCAGCGCCATCTCCAGAGTATCACAAATTAAACTCGACAAACAAGAAAGAATAGTGGGAGGAGAGAGAATAAGAATTGACTGCAAGCACCATCTTTCGAGTGCTAAGGATATCTCTCCAAAAAAGGCAAAGCAAAATAAGAATTGAATACCAATGCTATCTCTCGAGTATCAAAAATATCTTATCAAAAATATATTTTTAAAAGAAATTCGACAGATAGCGCTGAGGGTCAATTTTTATGCTATTTTTATTTTTTTCTTATAATTCCTATAATTCTTTTTCTTCTATATTTTTATCATAGGAGAAACAGAATAAATTCTATGTCCGAAATACCGATCTTAAAAAAAAATCAGAGTGTTTTTTATGCCATTGATTTAAATATATTAAGTTCCTCAAAAATAAAAATCTACTCTAATTTAAAAATTAGAATATTTATCTTATGATGAAATATGATCCATTCCATTGAAAGCTGAAGAGGATTTTTGAAACAGACTACAACAGAATTAGTGAAATTCAATAACAGAAGTAATTAGTTTCTAGCAAATGAGGATCACATATTTGTATTTATTTTTTCCTCAATTTATTTTCCTCAATTTATACTGTAACAAACTCAATTACTAGATTAGTAATTAAAAAATAATTTACATTTAGAAAAAAAAATATTTAAAAAAATCAAATTATTAAAATTTTATTAAGCAATTCATTATTTTAAATGAAAGATATTCCTCGATAAGCAAGAAATACATTTTTTAACAATTATTATTTTTCAATAACAAACGTTTTTAATAAGAGGATGCTGAAAAGAGAAAAACGGTAAAAAGGATTACCAAATATAATTATCCACTCAATATAAATCCGAACAAACCGTGAGTGAAATTTTTTTCTATTTCGCAACACTAATATGCTAAAATCTCAAAAGAAAACGCGAAGAGTGCTTTGTTATTTATACTTTCAATGCAATTAACAAAAAAAAAAAAAGATAAAAAATTCGCGAAAATAGATATACGAAATTCTAATAAATTAATTTATTACAGCACTCATATTTTATCAAACGCAACACTAATAGCGGAAGATTGCAATCATCGGATGTCGTATAATCATCCTTCGTACAGCCTTTTTGGCTGTAATAGATGATTCAGTAGCTGGAACATACTTCCACAGTCCAAGTGGAAGAAATATGGGCAATTTGAACAAATAAACGCAACACTACTATAAAAAACGCGATCTTTCATCAACGCAACACTAATTCAAATGAATTAAATATAAAATTTATTATTATTTTATAAATCTAAAAAACTACTTTAAATATCACGATATTTATCATAAATCGTAATTACATTATAGAATAAAATCAAATTTATATTAAAACAAAAAAAAAAAAATAGACTAATTCATAATGAAAATAATAAAAAATAATTAAAAGCAACCGCGATATTTTTTTCAACGCAACTCTAACAGTAAACACGATTATCATTTTATCGCAACTCTAATTCAACCCGTTATTTATCAATCGCAACACTAATGCAAAACCGCGATTTGCCCATGATGACGGGATGAACGATGGGCCAGCATGCAAATTGGGCAGATACGATACAACAACATATACTACGTATTACTAAAACGAGCACAATGACAAAGTAGTAACAATGACTTCCCATTCTTTGAATCCAGACAAGATCCAAAAAATA